GCGCGCCGCCCCGCCCCCGCGCTCCCGGCTCCAGGCTCCCGGCGGGATCGGACCTCGCCGCTTGCCGTAGGGAGGCCTGGATGCTGGGAAGGCCGGGGCGGGCGGGGTTGGATGAGAGCGACGCCCGGCGGGGGCGGGGCGAGCGAGGAGCCAGTGCGCCGCCGAGATTGCGCGCCCGCGCGTGCGCAGAGCGTGCCCGGGTGGCGTGCGCGAGCGCTTCGTGGACCAGACCTGTGTGCGCGATACCCGCCCTGGTGCGCGCGCGGCCCGGATCCCGAAGGGGATCCCGAAGGGGATCCCGAGGCTCCGAGCAGCCAGTGCGGGCCCTTGCCTGCCTGCGGCCTTGGGGCCGGGGAACCGAGGTGGGCGTCGAGGGCCGCCCCGCAGGCACAGCTCTGGTGGCCTCGGCGGCGTGACGGGCTGTTTTAAAACCAGGGCTTGTCCGAGCTCGGGCGGCCTTCGAAAACGCGGGCCCACCTCTGACTGGAGAGACGGGAGACGGAGGCCTGGACAGGGCTGGGGGCTGTTGGAGAGAGTGACCCAGCAGGCCACCCAGCGCCGGTGAATTCGTGGTGTCCCCGCAGTGGCCGCTTCAGATTCCGCTGTCCAGCTTACCCCTCCCTGCAAACGAACGCCTGGGGCGGCAGTTTAGTAGAAGCGGCGGCCTGTCAGTCTCCGGGCTGGCTTTGCCTAAGGAGTCACTGCTTGTGCTGAGATTGTTGAGTTTGGATGGCTGGGGGAAGGAGGGTGATGGAAAATACCCCCACCCAAACAAACCTTTGGCGTCAGGAGAGGAGGGGCCGCCTGGAACTCGGGTTCCGTGACCTGGCGTGCGGGTGGGAGAGGGCTGGGAGCAGGTGCGGGGCCGTGAGAAGCCTAGCCTGGGAAAGGGAGGAGGAAGGGGGTTCCAGTGGGAGCCGGGGCGGCGCCCCGAGGTGGAGCAGATGAGGGGGCAGATAGAGCTTTGAAGGCGGGAAACTAAAGGAGTTTTAGTTTCTGTGGCAAAGCTAGTCAATGGAGATAGAAATCAGAAGAGTGGCTACCTCTGGAGGAGGTATTGACTGGAAAAGGGTAGAAGGGAGCCTTCCCGGCTGCTAGAAATGTTCTATGATCTCATTTGGGTGGTGGTTATGCAGGAGAACATATAAGTAGCATTCTTTAAACTGTACCCTTAAGAGTAGTGTTGTCACTGTATATATATTATACCTTAATTTATAAAAGCAGGCAAAAGCAATCTTTGGTGTTAGAGGTCAGAGTAGCGGTTACTTTTGCCGGATTATTAACTGGGGGGCTAAACATTCTGTATCTTGACCAGACCCTTCTTGTTACATGGGTCTGTACGTATATAACAATTATTCAAACTGTACTCTAAATACTTGTGCACTTTACTGTGTGTGTATGATACCCCAATTAAAAGTTTTTAAAGAAAAAAAAAAAAAAAAGGCTGAGCAGACCACCTGGCTCAAAATCAAAGATTTTCTACTGGTTTAGGATAAAGACCAAATTCCTTACCTTGGCTTTTAAGTAGGGGGATCAGACTGAATTTGTCTGAGACAGTCTCCATTTTTTTGCCTTTGTCTCAGCGTAAGTATAACCATGCCCTTCCTTCCCACAGTGTCCCCATTTGGACAGTATATTCTCTCATCTCTAGGCCTAGCAGGCTTGGGCTGGCCCTGCTCAGCCCTCTAGCCCTGTTCTTACCCTCTTCTCTTTGGTCTCTAATTCCAGTCTCACTGGCCTCCTTGCTGTTTCTCAACTGTTCCTGCTCCCTCCTGCCTCGGGGCCTTTGCACTGCCAAGCCCTCCACGTTGGATGCCCCTCCCTGACCACCTTCACTTTGTCTGCTCAACTCAAATCTGTTTCAGTATTGCCCCTTCAGGGAAGCCTTGCCTAACTCCCTGGGCTAGATCAGGCCCCAGTTCATCCTGTAGTTTTCCTTAGCACTTGGCCCAGTAGGTATTTGTGGGTCTTGTCCGCTAGTCTGGAAACTAGAAATCTTTCTGTGCCTCCGTTTCCTCAGGTATAAAAAGGGAATAATAATAGGACCTACCCAAGTATTTCAGTGAGTTTCTGAAAGGATTAAATGAGTTAACACCCATAGAGCACTTTGAACAGTGCCTGGCTCACAGTAAATGCTCACATATTGGTAACTGGTATCATGCATTAGAACTATTATTTCAGAAACTGGGGGCTATGTGACCAGCTGATGGATGGAGTAGTCTCGGGTCCCCCAGACCAAGGAATCCCAGTGTCCTCAGGCACCCGTAAGATTCCTCTCTATCTGCCTTGGTCACTTCGGGCTGCTATAACAAAGTACCGTAGACCAGGTGGCTTATAAACAGAAATTTATTTCTCACGGTTCTGGAGGCTAGAAGTCCAAGATCAGGGTGCCAGCACGGTCAGGTTCTGGGTGAGGGCCCTACTCCTGTTGACAGAGGACTGTCTTGCTGTATTCTCACACGACGGAAAGAGGGAGCTCTCTGGCCTCTTATGAGACGCTAATCCCATTCATGAGGGCTCAACTCTCATGACCTAATCACCCCCCAAAGGCCTCACCTCCAAATACACCACATTGGGGGGTTAGGATTTCAGCACATGAATTTGGGGATACAAACATTCAGCCCATAACAGTATCCCTACAATAAATTCCTTCCTGGGCTGGTCCCGGTGGGTTTCTGGTCTTTGTAACACAGCAAGCCAGACTAAGCATAGCCTTATCCCCAGCACCCTGAAACGTGCATAACGTATGGTAACTTCAAGCCACAAACAATGTCTCAGTTCAGAAATTAGAATGTCCAGATCTATAGAATGAAATCTCTGAACTTGATTTAACTTTAAATCTTCCCCTCGCCTGCAGCATGGGCCCTTTAGGGTCTGAGATGAGCACTGGGGACAGGGGCGTCTTCCTTGTTCCTTCCCTAGCCTCTCTCAGCTGGCCTGGCCCTGCTTCTGCCTACCTGGGGCTGCTGCCAGGGAGGAGGGAGAGATGTTGGGGAGGGCTGTGGTCTCAACGCTGGTCTGGCAGAGTGTAAGCTGACCCCTTCCCTCCTGGGAACATTCATGGGCTCCTCGACAGTTCCCTGCTGCTCCCTCTGCTGAACAGATGTGTCACTTTTCTGATGGCTGCAGGGAACCCTTGGCCCTGCTATGGGGACCATTGGACAGGACCTAAGATGACCCATCCATGAGGCTCACATCTATCCACACAGCTCATGTCTGTCCACAGGCAACACTCTCACACCCCTCGCCCTAACAAACCTTCTGGAGCAGGCAGGTCCCAACACAGCAGCATACTCCCAGCTCTGCCTCCAAAGCAGCTCGTGAGCCCTTCTTTCCTGGCTGGGAGTCCATCCCCAGTCCACCATGCCCCCAAATGGTGGGCCACGTCTTAAGCTGTCTGAGGAATCCATCGGAAGGGGCCGGCCCCGTGGTGTAGCAGTTAAGCGCGCACTCCCCTGCTGGTGGCCTGGGTTCGGATCCCGGGCGCGCACCCATCCACCGCTTGTCAGGCCATGCTGTGGCGGCGTCCCATATAAAGTGAAGGAAGATGGGCACAGATTTAGCCCAGGGCCAGTCTTCCTCAGCAAAAAGAGGAGGATTGGCATGGATGTTAGCTCAGGGCTGATCTTTCTCACACACACACAAAAAAGAGGAATCCATTGGAAGCCACTCTTACTAGGCTTCAGGTGAAGGAAGGAGTGCCCCTACACTCTGTGCCTTGGCAGGACCACATCATCAAATCTTCTCTTCCACTCTCTCACCTTTTATTCCAGGGTGTGGGATGGGTTTGCAAGTATTTCCCATGACAGTCTACATATGATGATCTGACAGCTCATTTGAGAATTCTACATCTATTGTTTCTTGATGCCCCTCAAAATTTCAATTTAGCGTTCTGATTTATTTACAACAGATACACTGGACAAAGGTCATTGTCCCTTTGCTGGGAAGTCTTTGTGTTTGTCTGCCTGGCACCCTCTCTCCCCTGAACCCCATTCCTTATGAGTCTCTGCTGTGGCTCTCCTCTCATCATGGGATCCCAGGGGGGCTGTCACAGGGGGTGGACATGTCACCCAGGGCCAGCTGGGCAGCTGTCCATCCCCCTGATCAGGGGTCATTATATGACTCACACCAGGCCAATCAGAGAACTTGAGGATGTTTTATACTAAAACTGGCAGAGAGCATTTCTTGTCTTTTCCTTTAGGCCAGGAGCAGGTAAATTTTTCCTGCAAATGGCCAGGTAATAAATATTTTAGGTTTTGTGGGTCCTATAGTCTCTGCCTCTACTATTATAGCATTAAAACAGCCATAGAGAATAAGTAAACAAATGAGCGTGGCTGTGCACCAGTAAACTTTATTGACAACACAAGTGGCAGGCTGGATTTGGCCCATAGGGCTGTAGTTTGCTGACCCTTGCTTTTCAGCACAAGTGGTGATGGTGGGACCCCAGACCAACAACCATAGTCCCTGTTAGAGAAAG